TCTATGTATGAGAAATACTTGCTACGAAGATCAACGAGGCTAAAATGGAAGGTTGCGAATATGTAATTAGGAGAGGCATATGACTAGAATGATGGTGTTTTAAAATAACAACCCTAAAAGCTAGCAGAAACATTCTCACACTCTGAGTCTCTCTGTTCGAGCAAATACTAGGACAAAGTAGATTTTGAATTTCAATCAAACACTTGTGGGGATACTGATGTTAAAAAACTGGTTAGCCAACTCCTCATTAAACTGGTCTAGGTCATCTATGAAATGTTGCATCTCAACTCGAAAGTTTCCGACCATATTTTTTTTTTTAAGTCTCCGACCATATTCATGATCATTGTTGATAGTCTAAGAGTAACCTTAAACTCCTCATTTTTCTTAAAGCAAATGAGAGCACTTTACTGCTAATAATAATACACACTAACTTCTAAACTAAACACATTCTCACTTCTATTCTCTATCTAACAAACTCTTCTTACTCATGTACACAACTTTAAACTTAACTTAAAATACTTACTTGGAAGATGACGAGCACGTGTACGGTGACAAATGAAGTTACGGGACAACCTGGGCTCTGATACCAAATTTGTAACGCCCCTCTCAGGGTTAAAGGAAACGTTACACTAGCATACTACTTTTAAAAATTAACTGTAATATAACGGCCGTTTGTTTAAGAAATAACCCTGATAAAAACTCAAACATAACTAAAATATAACTAACATTTAAAACTCAATAAAATCTAGTTATCACCAGCAAATGTGATAACCACCTGGATCCAGGAATTTATTCAAACATCAAATTCTAAAATAAAATAAAATAATAATAATCTCTTTATTATAAGACTGAATTACTGAGACAAAATAATATCTAGCTAAAAGCCGCCAAAGTCGTTCCCGTTAACTCATCTTGGCACGCGTTCCACTCTCTCATCATCTTCCTAGGCCTTGGCCTTACCCTTAATATCTGTACATGCGAAGAAAGAAAACTGATAAGCTTTACGCTTAGTAAGTCACTATGGATCCACAAAAATATCTAGAAGTCTATGTCAATTTATCAATAGATAAATTTAGGCTATAAGCATGCACTAAACAAATAACTAACACATAACTTCTCAAATACATTTTGAGGGAGATTTCAAAAGAAAACTCTTTTCGAAAATAATTTCTCATAACTGCTGGAGAGATCTCAAAAAGATTTCTTTCTCAAAACATCTCTGTAAAACTTTCTGAAAGAGATCTCAAAAACACTTTCTGTAAAACTTTCTGAAAGAGATCTCAAAAACAACTTTCTGTAAAACTCTTTGTGGCTAATTTTACTCTGTGGGCCCGTGATATGTACCCAAAGGCGCCAATCCGACAGCTCAGGGGAGCGACCCACTAAACATATCGGACTCTCTGAAACTCTGTGGGAACTTGTTCCCGGGTACATATCACTTAATCTTTCACTTTAAATATTAGTTCTTTTTATAGTGTCGTTTGGATAACCACATCATTAAATCAGAAAATACTGACAAACTCTTGACTATGCCAGATAATAATCATCACTTAATACAACAAATAAAATAACTCATCACATAATTCACATAGTTCACATAATAGCAAATAGACTAAAATCATCTATTAAAAATTAACAAGATTTCTTTCTTTTATTTGGTTGAACAAACATGTACAGGTGGTAGTGAACTTACCTGTTAGCAGCTGAACTCAAAATACTCAAATAAATGTGACACCTTGATAACGTCTTCCAGTAAGCTCTTCTCTTAAATCTTTAATTAAATATTAAATATAAGTATATAACAATACGATTAAATCTCATTATACTATAACCAAAACTCTGTAATTGAAACATACCGACTGACTGAAAGATCAATTAAATGTTCTTTATCTATTACAATCAAATTTGAAGTCAATTGTAACAGAATAATTTAGACAGCCCCTCAGCTCCTTCGCCTATACTAAAAATATTCATTTTGAATCAATATATCCAAGTTCCAGATGAAGAAGATACGGCAGTACCACAACCAGCCCCAAAATTAAATGAACTTGCTATTATTCTGTTTAAATTTTTGGAGAAGGTGGCTGCTCTATGAATTGAAAATAAACCTCCCCAAATCCGAGTAAAATGGCAGCAGCCCTTTTGTACGTTAAAATCATTTTTTTTTTTACAAAGCAATTCCATAACTTGAATTGATACGGTTCAATTGTTTTTGTAGAAAAAGACTGCTAAAGTAGAAGTTTCATATCAGGAAAATTTAAACTCAATCTGTCATCAAAAGATTTATAGACTGAAACACGGCTAGAGTAAAAGAAATATCAAACATTACCTGATGTGAGGAGAGAACAAACAGTAAGATCGGATATTTCGATATAAATTTGGAGCAGTGGGATAAACTTTCAGAAAGAAGAAAATTTTCGAGAAGTGGAGATATGTGCGGCTACCGTGGTTGAGGTTAAACGTAGGTTTTAATTAGAAGAATGTATCTATAAAATAGTACTCATTTTAGGGTTTTAATCCAAAACTGATTTAGGCCAAGATAACTGATTTGGGTCTCTAAGTCTTCTAAAAAAAATGTTTCTGACCCAACAAAATCATTATATTCTTCTTTTCAATAATATACTAATAAAATATATACTATTAATTATTTCTTCACTTAAAATTATTGGAGCTTACCAGATAACGTTACCTGCCACAAACAAAACATGGTAAAAGAATTATCACATTAGTCACACAAAAGACTTGTTTAACTGATTAAGATAATAATAATAATAATGATTAATATAACTAACTCATAAAAATCGGGGTGTTACACCACTCACTTAATTGGAATTCGGAGAATTCTATTCACAGCCCTCATATTACTAAACACAGTCCCAAATTAAATATTAATAATTAAAATTATTTAAATATCTAATTTGCCCTTTTAATAATACATTCACCCGGTTCTTCATCTCAGCCCACGACCTCTCATCCCTTCCGCAAGTTGCTCCAATCCTCTGTACCCAATCGTTGAAGCTATAGTTCACACATCTCTTCTACTTGGTACGAAACATCGGACCTCTAAGAGCACAACACACACTCTCTTCGCAGTCTTTGGTCAGGAATTTCCTCTTCTCTAAATAGACGACATCAGGATGGTCGATTGAATCATCGAGGACTTTTCCGGTTCTGTTGAGATCGCCCCTGATTTCATCATCAGAGTTAATTTTTTGAGGGACTGTCTAAAAATGAGACAATAAATTATAGAAAGGACTCAATCAAAAATCTGGTCGATGGATATTGCTAGCCATATTGTTGGTGAAATTGAAGGATTAATTCCAAAGATAAATTCACTCTAATTTAGCCAAGTTCATTCTAAAGAATGAACTCAAACCCCTTGAGAGTTGTGTCGCGTATGTCAGCGTAAGGGTGTGGATAGAATCTTCGTAACGAGTAGCATATTGGGGGCCGCGTTTAGTAACCGGCCGAACGTATTAGGAGAAGGGTAAATTAGAAATTTACAATAATGTTATTATTAATGTTTAATTTTGGGGCCACATTTAGTGAAGTGGGGGTTGTAAATAGAATTACCCTTTATTTAAACTATAAGGAACTGATTAGTTTGGACCAACTAAGAGTCCGTTTAAAGGATTTTCGTGTCTAAATTTTTGATAATTTTTTGTGAGCATGTTCCATCAAATGTATATCTTTATAAAATTTCAACTTAAAGTTCAATCGATGGGTCAAAAAAAGAATTAAGATGAAAAGCGAAGGTGTTAACTGTTAAGTATATACCCAAAAGACAAGAAGAAAGTAGATTATTCGGAGATTCTTTGTTTATCCCTCACCGATCGTAACCATTCAATTTATTAATGTTATTATCACTGTTTTTGTTATTGTATTTTTCCTATAATTATTACTACTATAATTTATCTATCTTTGATATTATCTTTGAATATATTTTGTCCCGTGCATCGCACATGTGAGAATCTAGTAGAATACAAGGGCATGTATCATATGAGTACAAGATACAATTGAATGGACCAAGTTATGGTTTTGCACTTTGTCATGAGTATGTGTTTGGCCCCCGATTAAAAATGGGTTGATTGAGATCTTGGGATAATAACGGTTTAAAATAGTTGTCGCATGTTGGGCTTTGAAGACTTTTGTAGGCATATGTAATTGGAATATTGTTTTAATTTTTGTATGCATACACGGAGTATAATTGAATGGGCAGAATCTGCTGAATAGTAAGGAGTCAATGGTTCATATTTTTGTGTGCTACTTCATCCGTTCCGTTAAGATTGTGATGAAACAGTAAAATCCTTCATTGTGAAGTTTTTGATGTTAGAAAGAAAATTTCACTATATGGACAAAATTTGCTGAATTCTCCCCTAGCGAGCGCGAGCCTCCAAGATATGACCTCCAGGAGCTCCCCTAGCGATTGAAATTAATTGATAAAATTAATTGATAAATTTTACATAAAATAACGTGATATTATGTATGAGGATGGATCTCCCCTAGCGATCAAAATTAATTTAAATGAGGCTAGACATAAAATTAGATTTTGCATGTCTTTTTAAAAAGTTTATGTGCCCGTCCAATATAAAATACTACGAGTGTAATTTAGTTCCTTTTTCCTTCAGTTTTGCCACTTTCGATCCTCCAACTCGACTATCGTGTAAGTGACATTTTTGTTATTTGACTTTCAATTATTATTACATCTTTAGTCTTTAATTACTGTGGGAGAGACACTTTTAGTCTTTGATTTCAAATTTTCCTACATTTAGTTTCCTAAGTATTATGAAATCAACATTATTAGTCTTTAATTCCACTATGATTTTGATACAATAGATGTAGGACTAAAAATGTCACTATTATAATATAATACTCCGTAGCTGATTACAAAAAATGCAACTTCTGTGAAAATTGGAGTACTAAATATAGAAATTTAAAAAATGAGTACCAAAAATGTCTTTCGCACATCTTTCAAATATATATTTTTTAACTGATGCATAATTTGTTTGTGACATAACTCACATAAGTTACACAACTTCACAAATAATGATTGTCTGTGCTTGTTTCATCCTGATGTGTATAGTAAATCATGTATACACTACAACACTAAATCTGATCTAACTAAAAACTGTATGTAAAAGTGCCAAAATGGGTTTGGGGCACCCTTGGGTGGGAATTAGTAGAGTTGGTTCACGGAAGCGAGAGGAAACCTGGCCGGAAAAGGTAAGCACCGTGTTAGGCGTAGGCAAGAAAAGATGCAAGACACATAAAAAATAAAATTTTTTCAATTTTTTAAAAGTGTTATAATTTTTTTCAAAAAATAAAGTGTTATAATTATTTTATTTGTTCTTCGATTCTCATAAAATATACTTCGTATATCAAAATTTATAACATTTCATAATCTTTTATATGTCACCAATATTACATATATAAAATTTAAAAATAATACGAATTTTTATCTACTCAATTTTTTAAGTAGATCCAAATGTTAAAAATAAGATCTCATAGTTAAGATATTTCTTTCACATCTTTATAAGGCTTAAGTATCAACAAAAAAATAAGATATTTATTTATTTAATTCACAACTATTCACAAAAAATAAAAAAAATCAGTATATGATAATAAAAGTAAGATTTCATAAAAAATGCTAAATGAATATATTGACAGTACTGAATCATGGGAGAAATTGAATTAACTAAGTGGATATGCAGAAAAAACTGAATTGACAAAGTAAATACATACTCATCTTTTCCATGAAGCTTTGTCAACTTTCCTTTCTAATCGGGGGGGGGGGGGGGGGGGGGGGTAGCTCACCTGGTAGAATGATGGTGCCACATGGGAGAGGTCTCGTGTTCAACTCCAAGCAAAGATCGACTTGGTATGAAACTCCACTCTCTTTTAATGAGTATGTGCTCACCAATTTACATCATCTTAGATAACTGTCCAGTGAGTTCTGGGACTCCTCAGGGATGAAGTATCATCATTTTTTCCTGTCAATTTTCCTTTCTTGGTTGTTCCACTAACTTTATCATTTTTTCTTTTAAGTAAAGAATTTGTGATTTGAGTTAATTCTCTCTCCTCTGCACAAACCTCAATAACTCAATTTTTACTTTTGTTGGGTTAATGGCCCAAGTTGAGGTTCGGCCCATTTTCCCCTTCTTCCGGATGTACGTCCAGATAGAACATCAAGCTAGCCTTACAAGCCCACAACCCTCCAGGGGAGACGAACGTCTGCAGCTGGGGCTTGGGCCTAGTGGCCCATCTCGACGAACGTCTATGCAGGGACAAGGAGCAGGACCACGGGTCACCAGAATGACGACGAACGTCGTTAGAGCAAGCCCATAGCCATTGGAGGCGGTCCAGTCCACATGGCCAGGGGACGAACGGCCATTACCCTTTGGAGGCCACTTGGAGTAATCCAGCTCGCTTCCCGGGCGGACGAACGTCCCCACTAATTAGGCGGGAAACCTAGATTCTGGCGGGAAGTGCATTTAATGCTGAAGATTTGGTGGTTGGGACACCAGCAAACCACAGGCTTCCACGTCAGTACAGCCACCTGCCCATTGGCGGGTATAAATAGAAGCATTTATTTCATTGTAAAGGTTGGCAACTTTCTATTCTTAGCACTCTAGCTATAGCACTCTTACTCGCAGCACTTCTACTGCCTTGTAAGACGAACGGCCGACGGAGCCTTAGCGAAAAGTATTGTATTAGGGAGTTATTAAGAGACAATAATACCTAATCACTTACTTGCTACTTCTTGTTCTCTTTCATCCATAACATCTGCTTGTTGGGCTAGATATTCATACACACTCCACTCGAGATCCTTGGGCTTACGGTTTGGACCCGAGGGTTGAAGGAATAAACCTCAACAACTTTTTTATCCCCGTGTTGGTCAAACTTAACTAAGTTTTGGACAGAGTATAAATTAATGGAGAATTTGATTTATTGATGGAGAAGGTTGTTTTTTATATGAAAAGACACCAATTTTATTAACTCAAATCAGTTTCTAACATATCACGAATACAATCAGGTGGAAAAGAACGTCAGATGCAATCAAACTAGGATAGTAACCCTATTTGCTGATTGTCGCACAAACAGACAAACTAGACAGAAATCTCAGCGAAAGACGACATCATATGTCTAATATCCTCGAACAAAGCTTAGATGTAAGAACACCCTCCTGGATTCAGAATGTCATTTACCACTTGTTGCAAGTCAGACTCAGTATGATCTTTGTCCACCCACAATCCACCGCCCAAGTCAAAGCCTCCTGGATTGCCAGTGTGATATGTACCGGAACAGCTCCTATCCATCTTCGCATATTCCCTCCTATAATTCTGCCACAGTCATCCCGAGCCACCATACCCGGCCCCCATTCCATGCCATGGACCTGCACCGCTCCGTCCACATTATTGGTTTTCACAAATCCCGACTTCAGACATGCTCAGTGTTCCTCCTTATGCTGCTATTTTCAACGGTCCTACTACCCTGTGCATTACGCCACCCTTGCAGCACTGTCTCGCTACAAAACAATATGCCCTTCCACAAGGCCGGTCCTGTCTATTTTCGGGCCTATGGGCGAGATAATATTTTGGGCTTATATTAAGAAAGAAAAAGTATGTTTATTTAAAATAATAATTTTATATATATAATAAAATTATCTAATAAAGGTCATAAAATAAAAAAGAATCTCACTTTATTGTAACCATGTAAAATACATATTTAGTGAAAAGTAACAATACTATCACATAAAAGAGAAATGTTACTTAAAAATCTTTTTCGCAAAACATTATGAAGAAAAATCATCAATAATTGCTTCATAATCAACTTTTTCTTAATAACCCATGCTCAATACTTAAAATTGCTAACCCATTAAGCCTTTCTTGAGATATAAGCGATCATAGATAAATCATCAAAATCTTCAACTTTGAAAAACATTACTTTAAACATTTATTGCGGAATTTTCAAGGTTCAATTTCTTAACAAAAACAAATTTTTCCATTGACCCCTTCTAACTTAAGCCTGCCTTTTTCTTATCTTCTCCTATTTCTCTCTTTATCCCAACCTGATTCAACCATTTTATCAAGAATAGTTTATTGGTCATTATTGGATTGTTTGAAGCCTTGAAAGAAGAAGTTTTTTTGTCATCGATCGCCGATTGGCCCCTTAGATTGATTGACTTCTTAACAAACCTCTGAGGCATTCACCGCTTTGCAGCGTTCTTTAATCTTGTTAATTTTGGAATTTGAAAACAACAAATCAATTTGGATGGACTTTGCCGATTGGGAGTTTTGGAATCGTGTGGCTTAATATAACTTGATAATATTGTAATTAAGAGGATTATAAAGTATAGAGATGTGAAGACAATTAAGACATGCGTGCCTCTTTACATTTATTTTAAAAATTAAACTTTGACAATTAAGACAATTAAGACATGCCATTACAAACTCACAGTCCTCTCCTTTGACGTGCACTGAGCAAGAACGCCATTCATCCGGTCGACTAGAGTGTTATCCATCTTCTTATTACGCCATACATGCTTCGCCAAGCTGCAATCACATAGCGTATAGATTGAAGTATCAAGAGTATTAATTAAGACATGATGATTGATGAGCTTACAGGTACACGTCGTTGAAGCAAGCGGTCTTTAGTCCGTAAACAACCATACAAAAGCTTGCCAGAAAGAGACAAAAATTGAGAAAATACAAACTTCCAAAACACCGTATAATAATCCGTAGAAATCTAGCAAAGAGAAGTTTAAAATCCATTCATTTTCGGTTAGACGACGTACTTCAACTCCACTGATTAAAGAGAGTAAAGATAGTAACATTAATTCTTTTGATAATAAAAAGGATGAGTGGATCAACAATTCAAGTGTCGTTTCATCACAACTGAAATGTCATGTCAAGCCTCACTTATTCAATTGGCTAAAGAGCTCTTGTATACTCTTCATTCTAATTCGGGACTATAGCAAAAACATCAAATAATGGTGCACGTAAATTTATTTATTTTTGTGTGATGCATGATGTTCTGGATTACATGATAATGACACAATTATGATATGGGACATAGACTCAAATAGGACTAAAAAAAACGTCGGGAACGTAAATAGGAGTTCATAGTTTTTTAAACCTAAATAGGACTACTTTTAGACGTACAGACAAAAATACCCTTGAGATGCAGCTGTCCGCATATGATGTTGCCGAACACATTCATTCATGCCTGACCGTCAATGATATTCAGAATTTCAGATCTTTGAGTACCCGTTATATCATTCTCGGCGGGCACAGGTCACCGCCACTACATCCACTGCTGCTCTGCCGCTGGTGGTCACCGATGCAAGTTACTTCCGCTCTACCGCCGCTGCTTTACCGCTGCTCTGCCACTGGTGGTCATCGAGTGGTGCCGACAAGATTCCTCTTCTTCTTCCTTTTCCTTTTTCATTCTTTGCCCGGTGCAAGTCTCCCCTGTTTCTAAATTTTATCGGATTTCTTCTATACCCTGTAATACCTCTTTGAACGTTTTTGTTATTGTTTGACTTTTCAATTCCTCATGTTTTGGCTTTCAGATTCTTCATACGTTTTTGTTATTGTTTTTGCTTTTTTTTTTTTAATTTTGCAAATATATATTTAAGTTAGTTTCTGGAAATTGTTTAATTTATTTATTTTGGAGAAAGAATTATTAATAATAAGATAATAAATATAGTGACATTGTTGGCAATTCAATACATTATTAATGACATTATCTTTATTTTGTTAGATTTTATTGCATTATTTTGGATAGTCAAATTGAATTACATTGTCCAACTTTATTAAAGGGGGAAAACAATGTCTTATTAAAATGTCATGTTAAAATAAAGTCAAATTTATTGAAATTTGATGTCACAATTTAATCATTTATGGTTATAAAATTTTCATTATAGGTGACAAACCTCTGCAGGATCAACTTTTCACCTAACGATGTTACAATTTATAAAAATGTCAATGTCACTAAAATGTCATACTGTCACAATGTCAAATTTTGAAGATGTCAATGATATAAAAATGTCATTATGATAATTACAGTGTCAATGACAATGTCGTGACCATGTCAATGCTATAAAAATAACATTGTAATAATCACAATGTCAATGACTATCCTGAAAATGTCAATGCTCACTCCTAATAAAATTGACATTGTTAAAGAGAACATCGGTGCTATCGAAAGTGAAAGTGTACATACAAGAAAAAATTGTTTTTTAGGGAAGACAAAAAAATGTGTCAATATTGACTTAATTTATTAACATTTTTATTACTAAAAACATGACATTGTGATATTTGGACATTGTGATATTGTGACATTGCAATATTGTAACATTGTATATTACATTGTGACATTGAGATATTAATATTGTGACATTATCAAGAAGTGGCATTATTTTGCTGATCAAATCGAGATATTGTAAGTTTGTAACATCATCATGCCATTGTAAAAAGATGAAAATATCAAAAAACTATCAAAATGTCAAAAAATTGTCACAATGTCAAATAATGACAATGTCAATGTCATTATTTATTGTATCATAACATTGACAATGGAATCGAATTCCACAATTGTATCAGTCACTTTCACATTGTGAATTCTGTTGTCAAATATTTTCATTAATGAAAACAAATGTTACACTTTATTAAAATCATTTATCAACAATAATGTATTAATATCAATATCATTGTAAAAATGAATGATAATGTATATTTAAATGTGACATTTGAATAAAACAATAATGCGAGCTTCTATCTCCGATGACATTGACACATCAAAGCCATCAAAGCTAACATGGCTAAATGGTTAAAATGAATTAATGAAATAATAATAAAAAATTAATGTATATTAAAAATAAATGAAACAAAATTACAACTTGGTAAATAAAATAGAAAAAGAACAAGACAAAAAGGAAATACAACAGCAGCGAACAAACAAAAGATGGAAGAAAAAACAGAGCATTTACAGATGAGAAGAAGAAGCGAGAGAAAACTGCAGCAACAGGAGAAAAGAAGAAGACGAGAGAAGGATGAGGAGCAGGGGAAAAAAAAGAAGAAGGGGTCTGCAAAATCTTCGTCGGAGCTGCACTGTACGTGGCCCTTTCTGTCCATCGCGCGGCTCTTTTGCCGTCAGCTAAGACCTGCCGCAGTGCCGCCACGCCACCTCCCCGCCTCATCTGATTCAGCTTCTCAGATCCGCACTCCGCTCCCTGTTGTTCTGCCAAGGAGCCACTCCCACAGTTGAAAGAGAAGCATGGCTGGGTAACTGGGTTTGTCGACACGGAACTATGGAAGAGGAGGCAATTACTCCGTAATAAGTTGGGGGTAAATCTGGAAGGACGGAAAAATATAGTCCTATTTACGTATAAAAATCATTTAGCTCCTATTTAAGTATATTAGATAAGTTCTAGTCCTATTTAGGACCATTTCTCTTATGATATTTCATGTTATGCAGAAAGAGAATTTCAAACCTTTTCCCCTAGAATACGACTGATATATGTCCCATTTTCTCTATTTTATCCTTTCTTTTTTTGGCTGCACTTTCTCAATTCGTATAATATAGGTCCCGTTTGATTAGAATGATTTATGTCCCATTTTTCTATTTTATCCCTTCTTATAATCCTTAAAATTAAAATTTATTTTATTAATAAGAAAATCATAATTTTATTTGCAAATTAATATTAAAAATGGGAAAAATAGAATAAAATAAAATAAACATAAACAAAAAAACAAACAATTAAATAAAAAACTAAAATACCTAAAAGATCCGGATCGTTGGGAAAATATCATCATATATAAAAAACATGTCATGTTTCACCTCAAAAATATCATGAATATAACATTTTTGTTCTTTAAAAATATTCAATATTGTTTTCAAAACTGCTGGATGACATTTTTTTTGCAAGTGGGCCTTCTTTTGGGGCAACAGGTGGTGACCATGTTGGAAGGTGCCATATATACTCTTCATAAAATCAAATTGTTTGTGTATCTACAATTACCCAACTACCCATCGTATAAAATGACGTGTACAAAATTTGTCCACAAAACCCAGTTGAAAAATAAATGGGTTAGCACGTGTCTATATTCCTCGTATGTAACCAAGTAAAATCTGCCACAATGATAAGCTTTCCAAGTTTCAACTTGTCAGTGGGTAGATTAAGGACAGTATGGGCCACCCCTCTGTTTATGAAAGATACTGTACGTAGTAAGAAATTTATGGGAAAGTGGAAGTGAGAAAATGCTTTATAGCGCTGTTTTTTCTTATAGAAGAAAGAAGCTTTCTGGTTGAAATGATCAATTTTCCAGTTAGAGGTTCTGTCATTGTTCCCCTTGCTTCTATTTCTATTATATACGAGTATATATTTACTGTTAAAGTTCTCTTCTTTGTATTATTATGTTTCACGAGTTAATTGTTTTATAAATCACCATGCTCATATTTTGGGTTATGCTCCAAATTCCCCATAACTCCATAAGCCTGAATATCATGAAAACTGCCAATTCTTTTTGGTATATACATTTTCTTTTGAAGTGAATGGAATTACTATTTCTCATCTTTTTTATTATTTGAAGTTTTGAACCTATGTTTTTGTCCATGAGTTGCTTATTTTATGTAATTTCCATTCCACAGGATGTTTTCAGTTTCCCCCACTAGTACCATATTGCTGTTGTGTAGCCAGAGCAGTTACTGGATATGGAGTGTTTGGGAATAGAATTTCATTATTCTGAAATTTTAGCTTCAAGCAACAAGTTGTCTTTAGTTTGAAGTTAGCTTGGGTTGATAGAATATGGAGCCTGAGAAATGGAAATCTTAATTCCATTTTGAAAACTTCAAGCAATGGATATCTAACCCTTTCTGAGTTATTGAGACCTTAATCCGCAAATACAACTTGTTTGGCAGATCGTGGACTTGAATAAGCTGTTGGAAAGTTCTTCAGCTGTCAAATTTGTTGGGCAAATCTCCTTTGGCAATTTACCTCTGTTTAATAAGATCAGGTTGATCATAAACAGATTAATCAAATATAACCATATAATATAGTATCTTCGTCATTTAGCAGTTTATTTGTGTTGAGTTCAATCAATTGATTTTGCAACTCTAATACTTGATCAAAAGGCAAGGATCACAAAGTTACACTGCGGTATGTATCTTACTTTTCATCCTTTTGTCAAAGTTATTTTGATTTCTTTAAAAAATCAACACTTCAACAGAGATGACAGTGTTGATTTATGTTCTTCTAGGTTAGGGTCTGTTTGGATTCTGGAAAATGCTAGGGAATGAAAAAAAGGAGGAATATAGAGAGAAAATCTGAAGGAAAAATATGGGCGAAAATAGTAAATTGATTCCAACTTAATAAACTAATGTTAGATATTTGTTCATACTCATTTTTAAGCATTTCTATTAAAAAATGCTTAAAAAACTAGATGCTCCTTCATTTTTTATTAGTCGATCTACTAGTTTCAAGGTTTTGAAGAGCAAAATTGTAGGAGTAGTGAGTAGTACTATGGTAGAAGAAGTAAGAAAAACAAGAAAATAAAGATGGAAAAGTAAGGGTTTTATGTGATTTGATATGATCAAATTTGCCAAACAAGGAATTCGGATCAACTAGTAAAATGGAGGAAGTATATGCTAGAAATGACTAAAATTTTATCATATTTGGTTATCATTTGGTATCTTTCATACATAAAAGGGAAAGTTCCCGAAATAGGACTAAAACAGTTTGATAATTCCAAAATAGGACTGTCATGTTTTTTTATTCCCAAAATAGGAGTAATTACTGTCAAGTTTGGAAAATACTGTCATGTTTGAAGTCTG